GCCCTAACCCAGCCCACGGAAGTATGCCCAAGCCCAGTCCTGCCCCATGCTCTTCCCGCTCTCTATCAGTTCCTCATCCACCGTGGCTGGCAAGGGGTTTTCGGGAGACTGTTTGGGCATATGGGTTGAGGAATTTTGTATTCCACGGATACCAATTTACCTGGGAACGGGGTAGAGGCTCTCGGAACTGGGTCGAAGAGAAGCTAGACCGGATTTTAGTCTCGGAAAGTTGGCTTGACAGTTTTGGAGAGGCCAAGGCAGAAACATTAGAAGGCTCACCCAGTGATCATTTGGCCCTTTTTCTCAGAATTTTTCCTTCTCATAATGTTCGTCGGAGACGGAAATTCAAGTTTGAGAATGTCTGGCTTAGAGAGGTGGACTGCCGGGAGATTGTTGCTAGAAGCTGGGGGATCGGGCAGATTGCAGCTTGTGGTAAAGCAGTAGGGGCGTGGGTTTATAGTAAGGCAGGCTCCTATGGGAGGCGGATCCAGTTCTGTAAGAGGAGGCTGGAGTATGTACGCAATCGCACGGACTCATGGTGTACGGGTGAATTCCAGCGGGTTAAGTAAGAATATTTGGATTTGCTGGAAAAAGAAAATCTTTTTTTGGCGTCAACGAGCTAAAGAATTTTGGTTGCTTGGAGGAGACCTTAATACCCGTTATTTTCATGATTCCGTTACGCATAGACGGCGGAAGAATAAGATTGAAGGTTTGAGGCTTTCAAACGGACGGTGGGAGCAAGACAGGTCCGAGATAGGGAAGTTGATTGGAGACTATTTTTCTCAAATCTTCTCAGCAGGTACTGGTAGGGGAGATTTTGTGTTCAGTTGTGTCCAACGTAAGATAAATGAATCCCATAACCAGGAGCTCCTTCGGCCAATTAGTGGGGCTAAAGTCAAAGAGGCTTTATTCGCCATGTATCCAGATCAATCACCCGGACCGGATGGTATGAGCCCGGGTTTTTATCAACACTATTGGGATGTCGTGGGTCCTGATGCTATTAATTTTTGTAAGGGGATTTTTGAGACAGGTAAACTTCAATTAATCATACTAATATTGTATTGATCCCTAAAAAGATAGTCCGGAAGTTATTGGTGTTTGGAGGCCCATAACGCTGTGTAATGTTATATATAAGATTTTTTCTAAGCTTTTAGCGAACAGATTTAAACATCTGTTACACCTTTGTGTGTCAGAACAGCAGAGTGCATTCATTCCCGGTAGACATATTGTTGATAATATTATGTTAGCTTTCGAGTCTCAGCATTTTTTGAAACGAAAGCGGAATGGTAAGATGGGATTTGTAGCACTGAAACTAGATATGAGCAAAGCCTACGACCGGGTGGAATGGTCCTTTCTGGAAGGAATGATGAGGCACATGGGCTTTGACGATAGGTGGGTGCATTTGGTCCTGAAATGCGTCTCTTCAGTTTCTTATTCTATTCCGTTTGATGACTCAGAGATTGATCTGCCGCTTCCTGGGAGAGGCCTGCTCCAGGGGATCCTCTTTCTCCTTATTTATTTTTACTTGTGGCAGAGGGACTTAGTGCCTTATTCCGTAAATATGAATCTATGGGCCGACTTCACGGGGTTTCAGTGGCCCAAGGGGCTCCGAGTATTTCTCATTTACTTTTTGCAGATGATAGTCTGCTGTTTTTTCGAGCCAGTCATTCGGAAGCATCTTTAATTAAGGAGACATTGGCTGACTATGAAGAAGCGTTGGGTCAGGTAATAAATTTTAACAAATCAAAGGTTTTCTTTAGTTCTAACGTCCTAGCTGAGCTAAGAGAGGGATTGATTGATTTGTTGGGAGTGGGTTTGGCTGGTAGTGAGGGGACTTATTTGGGTCTCGCGATGTTAATTGGGAGGGGTAAACGAGCTATTTTAGGCTACATTAGACAGAGACTGGTGAAAAGAATTACTAGTTGGAATAATAATTTACGTCAGGAATTTGAAGTCCTGATGAATGGCTTCTGGTGGAAGGGGAAATCGAGGAGAGGTATAAGGTGGAAAGATTGGGCTGCCCTATGTCGGCCGAAAAAGGAAGGGGGTTTGGGGTTCAAGAGATTGCGGGAATTTAACTTAGCAATGCTAGTTAACCATAGCCCTATTACTTCACGTCTTTGTCTCCTGTGAGGTAGCGAGAGAAGCTTGGCAGGTCATATCGTGGCAATGGATGGAAAGAGGGGCCATGAACTTCATAAAACAGTTGGAGTGGGAGTTTGGCTCAAGGAGTAAGGATGATTTGCAGAAGTTGGTTTGGGGGTGTTGGGCAATCTGGTGCGAGCGCAACCAACGGGTTTGGAATGGGTCATCTCAACCGGCAGCTCATTTCACGAGGAAGGCAGAGGCTATGGTTCTGGGATGGGCTCAGGTCCAGACTTCCAGAAGTGTAGGTCACCAAAGTCAGCAAGATCGGGTGGCATCTTGGAGCAAACCAACCTTGGGGCGGTCGAAACTGAACGTGGATGCCGCGGTTCGTGTATGAGGGTGGGTCTGGGCTGGTGTCTACGGGATGAGGCAGGGAGTTTTGTGGCTGGAGGGGCTCGACCGTGGATGGGGAACTTATCCCCCTTGACAGCGGAACTAGTAGGCATCAAGGAGGCTTTGAGTTGGATACTGGATTTTGATTTGAAGTGGAGTCCGATTCAGCGAGTGCCATTGCAGAACTACATAAAGTTTCAAAGAATTTTTATTACATTTCTTTTACTCACGTGAGGCGATCAGCGAACAAGCGAACAAGGCTGCCCATGAGCTTGCAAGAGCGGCCTGTTCTTTACCTGATTTGCAAACTTGCTTTGATGTTCCTCCGGTTTTTCTTAATTGTATTTTGAACAATGATTTGATTAATACTAATTAAGTTTCTTTCCTTCAAAAAAATGAATAAAACATTGACAATCGAAATGCTTAATCATCGATGTGTAATACCGTATATATCATATATAAAACTGAATGTGATCAAGTTATATCTCTAAAAAGTGATTGTCGTCAGGTCATATATACTAACAATACCTTAGATTTCAAATCAATTCTATATTTATATTATTGAATATATAGCTTTAAGCACCATTTTCCCTACTTCTAACTCTTAGACCGATTGCAACCTTGGGGACCTTGTGGTGAAAAAACACATTTTGAGCTTTTCACCCCATAAATCACCGCAATCCAATGTATAGAGGAGTGCCAAAGTGGGTTGGAGGCACACCTCCAGTGGGAAAGGGTGGGGCCATGTTAAAAAAAAATGAATCCAATTTTTAAAAAAAGTGTTGTAACTTTTTTATTTGAGCTCCATTTTTACAAAAAATATACCAAAATTCATAACTTTTTATAATCTTTTATATGACACCAATATTACATACTTCCTCCGTCTCTTTTTAGTTGCAACAGTCAACATTTCACGTTTGCCAACGCACAACTTTGACCGTCATTATATTTAATTCTGTATTAGTAAAAATAAAATAAAAATCAGATTATAAAACTTAGTAATGAGACGAATTTAACAATATTTTTCAAAACAAATAATTCACATACATTAATAAATAAAATGTAGTCAAAGTAAAGTACATGAATAATGTATATATTCCAATGTTGCAATTAATGAGATGCGGAGGATAGTATAAAAAACTAAAAAAACAACTTAATGAGGTTTTCAGACAATTTTTTTTTAAATAGATTCAAATAATAATATTATCACTTTATTTTATTTACATCTTTCATTTTTTTTTTTAAATATGTATGAAGTAACAAAAAAATTAAGTCCATAGTTATTTATTTTTACATTGGAATGTTTGGATTTACAAGTCATAATTATTCACAACAAAATATTGGAAAAAAAATTGATGTAACATAATAAAAGTAAGACCTTTTTTAAAAAACGTTGTAGAGTGAATATATTGACGGTGTTGGGTCGCAACAAAAAATGAATTGATTGAGTGAATACATATAAAGTTGTGGAAAATTTGATTTATTAACGGAGTTGGGTTGCGGTTAGCCTTAGGTTTGAAGTGTAAATTTTGTACGAGTATAATTTTTATACGGAGTAGTTAATAACATAACTTCTAGAATATTAAAATGAAAAACGCCTTTTGGCTAATTCATATATTGATTATTACTTTTATTACAAAAATGTCTCTTAGCTTTAAGGGAGATCATTTGGTGCAATGTGTCCTACGATCCTAGCATAAACATGAATCGAAATTGACCTGTACGGCTAAAATGGGTTTTGGATTTTTTTGATCATCAAACCGAATCATATATTAAAGATGGTAGATGATGACTTCGAGACTCAAAAACCTGGTCGTCCTATAACAGTGCGCATCAATGACGAATTGGTAATTTGTTTTTACGATTCATAAACCCTTACTTCTGCCAAACGAATGGAAATATGTGAATGACTAACAATACATGTCATATTTGGAATTACATGGGAGAGAATGTGATATAAAACAAAGAAGAAACTTTGAAAATGTAGATAGCATAGCAGGAATAGAATGTTAAAAGTTACGGAAATTGCCTAAAGCAGGAGTAAAACTACACGGAAATTCATAGCAGGAATGACATGGCAGAGAATGTGATGAAGGCTGAAGAATATTCCAAATTTATGGAATAAAACGTAGACAAATATGGAATAATGAGTTACATCTCTCCTAAGTGATTGACAAATAGTACATATCACAGTTTGTGACAATTTTGGAATCAAATTGGTCATGGAAAAAAGTTGTGTACGTGTTAATGTAAATTGGAAACACAGTGGTCATTACATGTTGGCAACAACTTGCCTGGAACAGGTAGGGTAAATGAAATAACAAATATACCATATTGGAACTGAAATAGGAAGAAGGTGAGTCATTATGTGGAAGATTTGTGCATGAATTTTGAGATAACAATGTTATGGTGTAGAGAATAATGTATTGTGAAAATAGTTTTATTTGGTTAACATAATAGTAAGTAAGTTGGTCAATTCTTTTAAAGTATATGATGCATATTGTTAATTGGTGTAATAGGTCATTGGAAGAGCATTTAGGAAGAAGGAACCCAATAACTTGGATAACATGAGGATTAAATGCTATTGCAATTTAAGTGGGGTCACGAAGAGGATAAAGAAGAAATTGGAGGAAGAATTGCAGGTTTTTAGCAACATAGTTTTTGGATGGGTATTGAACATAGAAGAAATGAAAATAACAAGTGGATAGTTGCAGCTTGAATTACTATACAACTATGTGAAAATAGTGAACAAACTGAAGGAGAATGGTGTCATTCGATTTCATATTCAAAACAATGTCATAATCTTTTGTAAGATAGACCCTATGTTTGTTGTTAGGGTTGAAAATGGGTGGAGAAAAGCCTGAGGTGCAAGAGCAGCTAAGTGGACATATTTGGAAGAAATATCTTGGAAGTGCAGAAAGTGTAAGAAGAACCGATGTCGTTGATGCTTTGAAGAAGTATGACAGTAATGACCCGGAAGCAGAGAGAAGATTGTGTTAAGCTTGCACTTCTACATGTACTATCACATGGATTATTTGGAAATAAGGTGGCACGGGAGCTACCAGCAGCGTATGTGAACTTGGTGGAAGATTTGGCTGCGTTTAATGATTACCTGTGGGGTGATAATGTGTGGAACGAATTACTAAAAAACATGGTAACAAATGTGAAGAGTTTGCAGAAGTGCAAAGGGAAATGAGCAACGCTCCCAGGATGTTTAATTGCTCTTTAAGTTTGGGCATTTGAAACTTTTCGTGGTCTACAAAAAGTTGGAATTTGCAATATCAAGGAAGGTAAAGAAAGAAGAATACCAAGGGCTGTGAAGTGGTCATTTACCAAACAACCTTCTATGGTTGTATTCAGTGAAATTATTTTCTGCAATGAGAATGTAAGTTGTTTCATATTTGTATTATACATATGGTATGTGAAGAAAAATATATAACTTGTTAATATGCCATGTTTCATTGCAGTTTGAATGGTCAAACATGGTAGCTGCTGAAGAGGAAATTAATAAATTTCCTATGTTAGTAAACAATAGAAGGTTAAGGTCGCAGATTGGACAAAGTGGTAGAAATAAAGAAGATAGGGTGGATGGGAAGAGGGAGAGTGGTAGAAAGAGTACAACAGATAGCAGTGGGGGAGAAGAGAAGGAAGAACAAAATGAGCTGGATGGTGATGAGATGGGGATGGTTAGATTTGGAAAATGCTAAGATAATGGAAGCAAATGCCAAATTGGTGCCAGAACTGAAAGCAATGAAAAAGGAACAGAAGAGGCAACACCCAAAACTTGGAGAAATACAGTCACACTTCAAGAAGTTGACACAACATGAGGACACTGAAGGTGATTCTATATGGGATGAAGTGGATGGAAATGAAAATAATACACATGTTGTATTAGAATCCAAGCAACAGGAGAAGGGTGCAGGTGCAGAAGGAGGCAGTGTGGGTACTGGGAAGCAGGACGGGGTATTGGCTACACCAAATTTTAACATATTTGGGCCAGAGTCGCAAGAGAAAATGTGTTATGATAGAGTGGAGGATATGAGGGAAGGGTATGAAAACGAAAATGATGAAAGAATGGAAGATGATAATGAAGGTGAAGAAGCTAGTGAGGAAAGAGAAGGGGCAGAGGTAGAAAAGTGTGATGGGGAAGAAAAAGGAGATCAAGCAGAGATGTGCGAGCCAGAAAGGAAAAATGAGAAAACAAATTCCAAGGAAACCAAAACAGCAAACATTTGGGATGATGTCAAGACGTAGTTTATGAATGAATTGATCACAAACGTAGACAACGTGAAAAAACAAGTGTTGAGAAATGATGTAAGTAGAGGAATGAGCACAATACCACCAATGAACACAGAGGTAATAAAGGTTCATTAAATATCTTTATGTGATATAGAATGCATATGAAAAAATAAGCATGAATGTGTTCAAATGCAGGAAGGGCAGAAAATGGGGTGCGAAAAACAACCAGTTCAGGTGAGAGATGACAAAAGAAGAAGAGATTAACCAATTCGAATATGAGTAGTCGTTTTTATAAGGTTTGTAGTAATGTGATTAACTAGTTAGAATATTATTTTTTATCTTGAAAGGGACATGAAAATATAGTGGGGCTTGGAAGACCAAAGCTGCATGCACGATCACCTAATCGATACACACTAGCTGAAGAAAGTGGTAGAAGAAAGAGGAGAAAAGAAATTGCCTTCACGACTTCTTGTGAAGGCATTTGACTTCAGAAAATCATTTGACTGCCTTTCCGGTTGAATGTTTAGCTAAGATTTGGTATGGGTAAACTAGACTTAATGAAGAAGATGCTCAAACAATTTCATCAAAATATTCCACCGGGAACCTCCTCAAATGACGATGGTCGGACAGAGCCTCTATAAAAGGGGTGATTTGCACTTTTTCGGTTAGTTCGAGAGCTTATTTACACCTTTTTCCCAAATAGTTAAGAAAACATAAATAATGACAAGAAGATGGAAATTGTATGAGAGCCAATGATGAAAAAAATGTATTTGTCTGTATTAGTTGGAATACGTAATACAAAAGTATATGAAAAGGCAATTATCCCCAAAAAGACCACCTCGTCGTCCCAAAAATGATATTTCTGCATTCTTCTTCACGAAGCAACATGTTCTCGAATTTAAACCTCCTTCACTTCCGTCCATGTATTGTCGGACAAAACTTTACCCACAAAGCAATATGATCACTCACTACAGCTTCAATTGAGGATGCTTGGACCACCATAACATTGTTCCACCAATCATCATTTACAAGAATTCGATCCATTTCTCTTCCACCCAATTAATAGTTCCTTTACCACGGTCCCGAGTCCACTGGTAACCTTGGATCGGGAAATCTCGTAGGCCACTACCGATGATTGCTTCTCTAAATCCCCGCAACCTACACCCGAGATGTGGAATTCTACCTTTCTCTTCTGACTCATAAAGAATATCATTGAAGTCCTCAATCACCATCCATGGGAGATTATTGTTCTCCGTTAGTCCCCTCAACATTTCCCATGCTTCTTGGCCTCGTCGCATTTTCGTGTAGGCATAATATGTCGGATCTCCAACCATTGACCGCACTAAACAATCAATATAGTTTTGATGCACAGCAGTGATAGAAACCTCCACTTCATCGTTCCATCCTAATACCAGACCGCCGCAAACTGATGGAAATCCTGTGCACACAAGAGGTCTTTTGCTCTCTAACAACGGATCTTTGTTTCCATTAGAAATATAATTGCCGGCCGATAGGTTTGAACGAGACCCGCCACCCCTTGCACCGTAGCCATGTTTCCTAACCCTCTATAGTTCCAACTCACCAAGCTCATGATCGAACAAGTAATCGCCGAACGTCGTGATCTAAAAAATCACCTCCGGAAAAATGAGGCTAGGCTAAACCTAGAGACGACCGCTTTCAATTCAGGTTTTATGGGTTGTGGAAAATAAAAAATCCATTTACTAAGGGTGCGTTCGGTATCGTTTCTGTTTTTCGGTTTCTGTTTTTTTTTCTTAGAAAAAAAACAGAAACATGTTTGGTAAAAAGTTGTTTTTGTTTTCAAAATCATAATCTTTGTAAGTGTTTTTAGAAAACGAAAACATATTTCTGAAATCAACAAAACATAGTTTCTATAAATTTGTTATCATTTATCTTCAATATCCAACTACCGGGACACAACCGGTTACCACCGGACCACCACCGGACCACCACCGGACACCACCAGCCACCACCGGACCACCACCGACCACCAACGGCCACCAACGGACCACCACCGGACCACCACCTGACCACCACTGGCCACCACCGGACCACCACCAGCCACCACTGGACCACCACCGGACCACCACCGACCACCACCGGACCACCACCGGCCACCACCGGACCACCACCGGACACCACCAGCCACCACCGGACCACCACCGACCACCAACGGCCACCACCGGATCACCACCGGACCACCACCTGACCACCACCGGCCACCACCGGACCACCACCAGCCACCACCGGACCACCACCGACCACCACCGGACCACCACCGGACCACCATCGGCCACCATCGGACCACCATCGGACCACCACCGGACCACCACCGGCCACAACCGGACCACCATCGAACCACCACCGAACCACCACCGAACCACCATCGGACCACCACCGGACCACTACCGGCCACCACCGGACCACCAGTCCACCACCGAACCACCAGACTATCATGGACTACGAAAATAATTACTCCGTATTTATTTCTTGGAATGACAAAATTGAAAATGAATTAGCACTAAAACAAAACGATTTCAAAAAACTGAGAATAGACAACTAAAAACAGTTTTTTGTTTTTTAAAAACCAAAAATAGAAAACTCAAAACCATACCGAACGAGCCCTAACATTTATATTTTCCAGTTTTCTTTTTCTACTTTTCGTTCTCCAATTTCTATTTCCATTTTTCAGTTTTTTCATTTCAAATTTGAAAATAAGTTTACCAAATTTTTCACTCATTCCTTGGACAGTACGTTCTTGATTCGGAATTGGATATGCTATCGCCCAAAAAGGGTACGGATCCTAGGTATAGGAAAGTTGGAACCAAAAATTGGTTGGCTTCGGTTGATCCCAACAGCTAGTTTAACTAAAAAAAATCTTTTTCCTTGTTGATTGACAGCTCAAATGTCCTTTTGGAACTTCACACTTTTGAAAAATGACGTTTAAAAAGCTTAAGGTGCCACTTAGTTAATACACATGAGTGATATGCTTAGTAAACGACAATTTAAGCACATGTTTTGGTTAGTGAGCAGCTTTTTAAGCAGATTGCGTGTTTGCTTCATCAATCTTACTAATCTAAATGTGACTTTAGAAACGAAGTAAACGCGTCCTAAGAGTGCTCGTGTAAACCTAAATTATTAGCTAGGAGCCAAGTGATACCAACAGATTTTTTAGCTGTTTTGACTCATTAATGGTTTCAAGTAAAATGCATGATAATTATTAGTTGTTTACGAGTGTCTATTAAGATGTAAACTGACCGTTAAAGATATAAACTGGTCTACCTCACTAATTGTAAGAGTTTCTTGAACTACAAAAGCACCTCTAACTTATTTTTAAATTCTAATGTAATTCAAATGTTCAACTCAAAAAACTACTGCTCCGTACCATTTTTCCTGAATGGTACATTTTTCCAATCAATTCCGCCGGTTTAAGTTGCCGTTTGGAGGACCAAAAATCGGCTTATAAGCCTGAATGTACAAAATAATCACCAAACACCCCTTAAATGGGCTTATTTCTATCATCATACCACTAAACTATTAAAAGACATAGCTAACCTCGTCTTTTTATGTCGATACTTCCTTGAATCCTTCTGCCATTAATCTTTTTAAGAATTGAGTATTTGGAACACATCAAGCAAAGCAAGCACCGCCCCGCTTTTAGTTTCTCTCCTTTGGCTTTGGGGAGATTATAATTATATATTACTCCCTTCCCTTAAAGAATCGTTTGGAATTTAAAGAATAAGTAAAGCAAGTTTTGGTTTTGTAGCTCTGTAATTCCTCCCCTCTCATCTTTCACTTTCCATCCATCACTTGCTTGTTAAATTTAGGTGATCGATGAACTAAATAAAGAATGGTCATGGAAATTCCATCAAGCAATGAAGAGCATGGAGAAATGGCAGTGCCAATCCACCCCCTTCCTCCAAATCACAATGCTCAACTATTAATGCCTAGGGGTGGGCGTGGTCGGTTAACCGTGTTTTGGTTAACCAACCTTCCGGTTAACCGAGAAACCTACTACTTTGGTTAACCGAGTATCGGTTAACCAAAGCTTCGGTTAACCGAGTATCGGTTAACCAAAACTTTGGTTAACCACAAACCGGTTAACCAAAAACCATAAAACCATTGAAGAAATAATTTTCTAAACAAAAATCATAATTTTCAAAACCATAAAACATCCATAAGTAGATCAAATTTTGAAGAAGATAATAGAAATACAAGAATAGACCAGTATTAACAATTTTATCTTCCAAGTTTAATTATGTCTACTTTTTTGGAAACAAATACGAAAAAAATAATTAAGAAAATGACATTTCGAGTTTTGAAGTTAGGGAGTCTAGTAAAGCTAAAGTCATGCAAAAATTCAAGTTGATGTTGCTCAAAGAGTAGAAGCGTTATTACGGAAAATGTAAAGGATAGGATGATAAAGGCAAAAACACTAACATGCACCATTGAGCTTAACCTTTACAGCTTTACTTTCTCCATTTAAAAACACTAAGCCGTACAGGATGGATTGACGGTAAACCGATTCTAATCTATTTAAAAATGGTTAACCCACCGTGAAACATTTTTTTAATCGGTTAACCGTACCGTGATTTCGTTTTAAAAGCGGTACGGTTAACCACAAAATTAGTGGTTATACGGTTTTTTAAACGGTTACGCGGTTATGGTTTTATGTGCCCACCCCTATTAATGCCTCCACAAATCCCATCTTACATTGGGCCCACCATGGATCAGCATGGGACCCACAACAATTCCAACCAAATGGCTGTGAGCATTAGGTACAGGGAGTGCCTCAAGAACCATGCAGCTGGGATAGGAGGGAATGCCATTGATGGGTGTGGTGAGTTTATGGCCAGCGCTGAAGATGGAACCCTTGAGTCACTCACCTGCTCAACCTCCCATTGCCATCGGAACTTCCACAGGAAAGAGGTTGAAGGCGATTTCTACGGCCCACCTTCCGGGACGAAGGTCTACCTGGGCTGCCACCACCTACGAGCTTTGTATGGTGACACAAGTGGATCATCAGGCCCGCACCAAGTCATTAACATGATATCAGATCCAATCAAAGAGGGGAGGGTGATGGTGGTCATGCGGCCTCCACACCCGGGGAAGGTGGTGAAGAAGAGGTTCAGAACGAAGTTTACACAAGAGCAGAAGGAGAAAATGACGAAGTTTGCAGAGAGGGTCGGGTGGAAGGTACATAAGGAAGAAGAAGCAGCAGTGCTGCAATTCTGCCAACAAATTGGGGTGAAGAAAAGAGTTCTAAAGGTCTGGTTGCACAACAATAAGCACACCGCCCTTTCATCATCCGTCTCCGATCCTCTAATGCATGCCCAATAACTACTTTAACTTTCTTGTACGTACTTTTTTTATTGTTGTTGCTGTTGATTTAGACTTTTCTACTTTGAGAGTATGGATTAGAGGATTTTAGCTCAATACATTAAAATGATATCGAGGTACATTCGTACTAATAATGAATGGGTAAGTATGTTCCTGATTAGAGTATGTTCCTGGCTTCAATTCATGTGGTGGTGTGGTACTATGATGCCTTCTCTTTTCTTTTACCTGATTATTAATACTCCGTATTACATATTATTACCTTCGTCTCATTAAGAGTTGAGACACAATGAAGTGGTGCAGTTATTAAGAAAATCGAGTTTATGTAGTTGTTATTGATTTGATAAATTAAGAATAAAGTAAGAATGATTTAGGATCACACAAATTTTATCCAATTTGGGATGATACAATTTTGGTGACACGGGCCGAAAAGGAGAGATGGACAATCATACCGTTCCGA